AACGTGCGCGAGTAATGTGTAAATTCGAAAGCGAAAAAAATATATCACTGAAAAATAAAATGTATTATGCCGAGTACGTGCGACTAAACGAAAAAAAAAAAAAAAAAAAAAAAATGAAACAAAATTATAACTACGATAATAAACGAGTTTGCGAGTGAATGCGTATTCGTATAGTACTAGTGTGTTTAGCGGGACCACGCGAGCGACGGAACGAGAAGACGACGATGTGTCGGCATTACGTTCGCGGACCGAGTGAGAGACTGGCACGGCACTTAAGACTTACGCCACCGCCGGTGGTGGTAGTGGTGGCGGTCGCGGTGGTGGAGGCGGCGGCGGCGGTCGCTCGACTTGGGCGCACAGCGACAAGACGCGCGTGGCGCCGCGGAGGGCTTTACCCGCAGCTTTTCCGAGCAGGCGCGCTGCAAAAAAAAGCCGCCCCAAGAAACGGTGACCACGGGCCGTCGGATCCGCGTCGTGCGGCCGGCCTTTGCGGTGGCGCCATCTGTTCTCGGGCTCGGGCTGTCTGCGCAGAAACTCTCGGTCGGCCGCCGTGCTGCTATCCTTGGCCGCGGCCGTCACGACCGCGCCACCACGTCCGCGCTACGCACAGAACACTGTCGCCGTGACCGTTCTTTGTCCGCCTAACGTCAGGAATACCACACGTGAGTGCATCGCCGAGCGCGTTTACGGAATTCGGTTTTGTTATACGCAGTCGCTTATTTACACGTAAACACTATTTTAGAAACATTTTTAGATCGACCAATTTCAAAACTACATTTTTTTAAAATCACGGTTTCGACCCTGAAGTGTACCTATACTCATTATGTTCATATTATACATTTAATGTATAATGTATGAACATATTCGTAACAAAATGTAAATTTTTATTCCCGTGAAGCTTGTAATATTCTCAAAACTTGGCTGTTTACGAACGTTTTTTTCATACACCTCTATCTGAGAAATGTATTAAAAATTAAATACACCGTATATACAGCATTTCCCATAAGTTCCGTACCACTCTTAATATCTACACGGGAAAACAATATATTTAAACGCGGTTTTTTTTACAACACTTAGTATGGAAATTCTGATTGAATGGCATAAAATGCAATTTTTTTTTTAAAAAAAATTCAAAAGTTCAAAAAAAAAAAAAATTTTATTCATTTAAAAACTTTCAATTTTTAAGATAACCATTTTCTCAAGCATATTTTTTTAAAACAGTTCAAAAAAAAAAAAAATATTAAAATTCAATAAAAATTGACCAAGTTAGATCAATTTATGTTTTTGAATAATTATAACAAAAAATTATTTGTTTCACATTTCAATAATCCAGTGCTTTGGTTACCTAGGTCGTCCGACTTAACACCAATGGATTTTTTTTATGGGGTTATTTGAAAAATCTTATGTATGATGTATACACGACGAATGTTCATTGCCTGATCTCCATGACAAAATTAAACAAAATATTCAAAATATTTTATCTGAGACATTAGAAAATTTTAAAAATGCTTAGGTCCAAAAAATTTCAGCTCTGTGGTACAAATAATGGAGGTCACCGAATATTAATAAAAAAAAAAAAATGTAATGCATTATTTTCGTTTTTATGTAATAAAATATATTTTTTTCTATAAAAAATCAGTTTAAAAATATTATATGAATTCTAATTTTAATGTTTCCTAAAAGCTCCACTAATAATTAGATATTTACAGATTGCCATAAAAAATCAGTGTTCCAATCAAGATTGATTAAATCGAGCGATTTGTGTTTTGCTAGGTAACAACTATTATTATAATTATTTAAAAACATAACTTGCTCTAACTTGGTCAATTTTTATTTAATTTTAATATTTTTTTTAAACTGTTTTAAAAAAAATGCTCAAGAAAATGTCTATCTTAAAAATGGAATATTCTTAAATGCATAAAAAACAATTTTTTAAAAAAAAAAATTGAATGTTATGCCATTCAATCAGAATTTCCATATTAAGTATTGTATAAAAAAAACCGCGTTTAAATATATTGATTTCCCGGGGAGATATTAAGGGTGATACGGAACTTATGGGACATGTTGTATATAATATCACGGCAAAGCTTTTTTTTGGATCAGCGAGAAAAAGTACCGAAACAAGACATTTAAGGAATATCATCATTCAACTTTCGATAGGCTTCAAGTTCGATGTAAATAAAATAGAAGTTTCGTTTTTAAGAATATAGGTAGATGTATTTTAATGATAAATAATTGTTTCCACATTATGGCTTCGTCTAAGAATATTCCCAAGTACGGTGGTAATTATTACTACTTGTGCGAACAAAAATGTCACAATTATGATAGTTAATAGATCATTGTGTTCCTCACTTCCTGGTAAACTAAACTATACTTATAAGTGTAACAATACTTAATTAGTATATTATTTAATGAATATCTGCTTATTTGTTCTTTTATCTTCTAAGCTGTATCCTGAGCATTATTCCATAATGTATATAAAAATAAAATAAAAATAAAATTTTTTTTCTACAATTGTTTTTAATCGGTTTCATTATAATTATCTATATATTAATTATGGATCGGAATACAGGTGCTTTATAGTTATCAGTTTCGTACATTGTTTTTTGTTATTATAATAATTATAATACTTTACAAGTTATAAAATTCGATTAACTTACAATTTTGACTGTACATAAAAAATAATCGACTAACATTTTTTTTATACAAAATATCGAAAAATTTGAATCGGTATTTTTATCTAATTAGTTGAGTAAATTTTTGTTGTATGAAATAAAATTAGTAATACTACAGTACCATACATCGAATTCAGTGGGTAATTTTTAAATTGTGTAAAAATAATAATTATAAAAAATTTTAATTTATTTTTTTATAAACTCCATTAAATCGAGGATAACAATGTTGTACATTATATCATTCATCTTGAACACTACAGGATAACTTATTAAAAGTCTCTTATAATATTTATTTTTTTTATTGTGCAAAAAAAAATTTTTGTAATTATGTGATTCGGTAACGCAAAAAACTCCTTAAAAATGGTATACAGTCAAACGATATCTGATATAATTTATGTATATTGGATTATTATAATACTTTTTAATTTCAGTTATCATAGTATATTTATACAATGCGTACATTTACGATTTATGTCAATGTAAAATACAATTAATAATATTTTTATATTACTGATGATTAAGTTTTTTTTTATACCTAATATAAGTTATAATATACATTTTTCCCTAAATAAAATAGTATAATAATAATATGAAAAATATTTCATTATGAAATAATTGAATTCGACATAATTTAAAGTACAAGTTTCAGTTTTCAAATCAGTGTATCGTTAAGTTCAATATTTTACCAGAACAAAATATTTATTTTTAATTTTATTAAATTTTTATCTTAATTTCATTAAAATTTTATTTTATCAAATTTTAACTTACATTTGACGGAAAATATGTATTATCATATTTATAATATTATACAAGTATTATATATTTATATTACTATTTTTTTCTACAGAATAGTGAGGCCCATTATTATTAACATAATCGTGTGGGAGACGGTGAAGACTTCACTATCAAATGTTTTTCTTAATATTAGTTTATTATTTAAATAGACCTCGGTTCTTAGATATAATAAATGTGTCAATAAAAAAAAATGTATAGTGACTGTTATTGCTTGAGTAAAGCTATATTATAATAATATAATATTATATTTATTGTAACAGTGGATTAACTTAGTGTAAGGAGATTTGTATAGGCAATCTCGCGTCTTATATGTCTTTTAAGCCGCGTACATATAGCGGCGTAGTTTGTTAAAATTGCTCTACCGTGAAGTAACCCTTGACGGGTAATTTAATATCCGCTACTTAGTCGTCTTCGTTTCCTGCTATTTCCGGTTAAACGCCGAGCCCAATACGAATTTATTATTTAGCTATGTGTAAGTATACAATCATATTATATGAGCTATAGCACTATCTACAATTTATAATTAAATAATTCATTAGAAAATATCTAACGTGTATCCGTGTTAAGTAAAGGCTGAACAAATTATATAATTCATAATTGAAGGGGTTTTTAAAACCATTAATAAGCAGTATTTTTTTTAAAAAAAATATAGATTAACATAATTTTGGAGTGTCCAATTGAACTATGTAGTTAAATTTGGTTGTGAAATAGATTTAAACTCTAATAGCCTTAAGGTTATAAGGTTTTATTTTTTATACTTTATAGAGATGTTTAGATTAATCGAAGGTTTTTTTTTATATTATTCATTATTTATATTTTACAAATATTTTGTTAATAGAGAAAATAAATAATAATAATAAAGTTAAAAAATATTATAAATGATATTATTAAAATTGGTGACGGGGAAGGAGGCGAGAGAGTATTACACATAAATAATATTTTTAGAAAAGCAATGCTAATAGTATAATTTTAAGTATTTTTTTTATATAAAAAAATATTTATTCACAACAATAAATGTTCTAGAATTTTTTTGATTCGAGTTCTAGTAAGAAATATTTTTAAATAAAAAATTACATAAAATTCGATGTGTAGAAACATCACTTTTATTTTGTTAAAAATTTAAAGTTATTATTATCAGTTGTAGCTATAATAAGCCAGTACAGTTAGTAATATTAATATTGAAGTTATTCTTATTTATTAAAATAAAAGAAAAAAAAAAGTCCAAAGAGGTTTATAATCTTCTTAGTCTCCGTTCGTACCTATACATAACTGATTAATTTTAGTATGGGACGACAAATGAAATAAGTAATAAGACGTGACCGAAGTATAAATGGTTTGAAACCATTTCATCTATTCGTTCTCATCTAAAATACAAACAACCACACATATATACTCACGTATATATCATATGCACTTGAGACTACACCAAAAGCGAGAAAATATCATCGGTCGACAATCTTATACTGGTTAAAGTAGGTATATGAATATAAAATATAAAATAATAGAGTATAGATAAAAATGTAAACTTACCGATCACAAATCGGATATATTCTTACGATCAGTGTGGTGAGCAGACGGATTGCGACGTTCGAGAAAAGCGCTGGAAAAACACTGGTGCGCGATGAACGCGAAAACGATGACTAGGATATTATTACCGGCTGGGCGCCGTATGAAGTGGTCCCGTCTCGGTCACCCCGCGGAGGAACGGTTTATCGCAGTGCGTATACCGCGACTGTGGTACCTATCGACTGGTGCGGTAACGGTCGAAAAAGTCGCGCACGTCGGGGTGAAGTCGGGACGACGACTGACAAGACTGTGACGACTATTTCGTTAGAGGTCGTGTGCACGTGATTATTATTATTATTTTAACGGTCTCCGGAAGATAAGATACGCGGCGGCCGAGGGTTGACGTCACGGGCTGCCGCCGCCGCAGTTGCCGCCATCGCGCGGCGGCGGCGTTACGGGCTTACGATTTCGGCGGCTGCGATCGTCTTTTTTGCCTTTCCGAAAAGACGTCGCGTGGGCGATCGGTGCGGTGCGCCTTCTTCTCTCCTCTCCGCGCCGCCGATCGTACGTCGTGTCTAATATTTTTGATATTGTTGTTGTGCGTCCGACGCGGTCCGACGGTTTTCGGTCCTCGGGCTCGTGCGCGCGCGCGCGGGACACGCGTCCGTGGACAGAGGAGCCGTTAAAAAGCGTATTATTTTTGTACCCGCGCGCCTCGAGAAGACGCGTGTGACCGTTGACGAGCGAGGGGCAGATGAAATGGCTAAAGAAAACACATCACGCGCCTTCTTATTAGCGGTTTCCAAGTCTATGATGTGTATCACCGTCGACAAACAATAATATTATTAATGTACTATCATTGCTATATTTTTATCCTCGCACGTTTCCCGTCGCCGTTCGCTTTCGAATACGGCCAGATTACGGGTGGTGGTGTTCAATCCCTCCACAATCTCTAAGGGAATAGTCTTCCCGAGCGGCACCGCCACCTACATGCCTCAATTGTTTTCGTCATTTCAATACGAATAACAGAATAATTCTTATGATTTACGTATTTTCAAACATTTAATTCGGTAGGTGTCTTCTCCAAAACAACTTACGGTAATCGATGTCTTATCTAAGTTTAGTCGATTTATATTGTAGATATTGAATCACTATGCAAATCGTTTATTTAAAATAATAAATAATCAATAAAAGATGAAAACTACTAATGCCGATCTATGGAATTTCTCTATACCAAATATCTATGCAGTATTAGATCATTTACATTTCATCGCGGATTAATAATATTAATAATAATTTCAAAAAATTTAGACAGTACCAGGCTAAAATAATTGTACACGATTTGTGTAAATACACCTAGGTGAAATATATCTACTTAATATATTTAGAATAATTAGTATGTATAATTTATGATGTAGCCATCTAAAATGTTTAATATGTTACTCGTAGCATAATATAATAAATATACATATACGTATACATGCATACACACCTGGTACAGGTTGGGTCGCCGTGTTTTCCACCCTATGTATTATCATAGCATTAGTGTAGGTTTTTTGATTTCGTTAAATGCGCCAAGTAAGTTAGAATTTTTCGTACAAGGTATATATAACACGTGCCACATTGTAATGTATAGTGTACACATACTGCACTCGTGCGCGACCCTAGTAATCACCGACTTCTTTCAAACGACTGCAGTTAAACGAGTTTCACCGCACGATTGTCACCCTACGATACTTCTACAATATCAGTATTTCGATGATATCGATTCAGTGAAAGACATATATGTATCATATGTACATATATGCATACATTTTAAACTTTCATTATACTACCTTAGATCATTTCTACTTTGTAGTAAGCTCCAAATGGTTATCTAATCAGAAATAAATGTAGCTAAAATAATTTTTATGTACACTACTTAATATAAAATATTGCAAAATTAGTATAGACATTAATTGTATACATTTATTGCATTATTTACCTACGATTATTGTACCGTGGATTAATATTAAATTAATCTGTATTTTATAAAGCTAATGAGTATAAATAATGTATTTATAATTGTAGAGTTAGTAATAAAATACTAATTATAGATACAGGAAATTATTTACTTTACTGGAATTCAGTCAAAAATGATTATTTTTGATTAACGATTAAAAGTAAACAAAAGTTTAATATTTATGATTATAAAATATAATAAAATAATTAATTTGGTCTATCATGGGATTTTTTTGTTTTGTTTAAATAATACTAAAAATAATAAAGTTCCGTTTATTGTTACAAAAAATGTCTTATTTCTCTAACCTGTTGGTTAATCAAAATAAATAAATAACAAATGTTAAAAAAAGTTTTTCATATAAAAAAGAGACGGTTAAAGTTATGATAAATCATATATTAATTAAAAACAATTTTCATCGAAACTCGTACTACTATAATACGTTCATAGGGTAATTTTTAAATTTTAAATGCCCATCAAAATAAATTTTGTGGTTATTTTAAAAGGTTTATAAAAATATTTAAAATTATTAATATATTAATATAAATTAAAAATATTAAAATATTTTAAATTATTAATTATTAATGGTCTTGAATTATATTTAAATTCATAAAACCATAAATCATTGTAAAAGAAAAATATTATAATTAAGAAAAATACAAAATAAAATAGAAAAACTTAAAATTTAAAATTTAAACTAAGTCCACAAATCGTTAGTATTTATTAAAAATGTATATAAAATAAAAATTATCAATTCACTTGATAACATATAAATTATATATGTATACAGGCAATATTAGTGAGAAAATATGTAATTTTCAATCATTTATAGGCAAATATATAGCTTATAGATTTAGACAAAAGAAAGATATCAACGATTTTTTAATTTTTTTAATTGCATATTATAAATTTCTACATTTTTTTTATTTTAAAATTCAAATAGGTTTATGGATTTTTTGATTAGTATTTCTTATAAATATGTACCACAGCTCGGAAATATAATAAAACTTGTTTTATTTTCCTTGAAAACTATTAATAAAATCATCCCATTATTTGTTGCCCGAGATTAGCAAAGCTTCGTTTAGTTCGCTTACGTCTACGTCATCTTATCATTGGTCTTCTTCTACCATTATTGGATGTTCGCAAGAAACACATTTTCTATACATTTACGGCTAAAATAGTTTTCATATAACTTGGAGTAGGTACATAAATGATTAACATTATTAAAACTGACAGTTTAAAATAATATATTCATTAATAATTCAGAATATGTAATTATGTAAGATTATTTAAAAAGTGTACGAATTGATAATACAATAATTTAAAATTCATAAATCCTCATAATGTTTAGTTCCTAGAGATTTGATATTTAAATCAATACAAAGATTAGTACCTTTTTTTATCATTAAATTTAGAAATATGTGGACATTTAAATAAATTAGTATCTGTAGTACAGAATTGGTGTCAAGAATTGTACTTAAGATTATACTAATAATATTGGAAATGTCCAATTAATTGTTTTGTCTATTATACATTATATTATGTTACAGTAATCTTAGATAAATTTGCAGGGTATACAAGTATACCATAGCAATTTATATTTCCAATCATTTGGACTTACATTTATTTATTTCCTTAACCAGTGGTGTATACATAACTTTTGTATGTGGGGGGGATAATTTGCTAACAAATCATTATTTTTATTTTATCATTATTTTTTTTTATGTCTCTAACGTCCTCATACTTAGATCATTATTTTACAACATTTAAAAAAAGGCCTAGGGGATATCTGACTCCCACATCCCCCCTTATATACGCCACTGTCCTTAACAGTACTTACTTGTAATGGAAAATTAATCATTAACGATATTTATAATAAAACGAACAAGGCGATCATTTATTGATATTTAAGTTTTTCTCTTTGTTTTAAAAGGGTGTTTATTATTTTTTTTATTTTTTTTCGGAAGTCATGTATTATAGAAATCGTCAAGACGTAAAATAAATAATACGTATTTATTATTTATACTATAAATATTATTTATCAATACGTTTTAAAGCTGCACGTATGTAATATCTGTTATTGGAGTGGGTGCGTTTACGTAATAATATTAATTCAAACTTATGATGTGCTCATAAGTTAATAATAATGAATTGCATGTATTGAAAATAATTCGTGAAAACTTTTTGTGTTCGATAAAAGGAAAGGTTAAAATTAATTATTATTAGAACTTAAAGTTCGTTTGACTTGAAAAAAATATTTTCAATTAAGTTCAGTTAAAATTGTAAAGAATGAAAATGTATTTATGCAGATTTTGATGTCGAACAATTAACTAAGGATCATTTAAACAGTAATTTATCATTGTAGGTTTGTTTAAATTTATATTTTATTGAAATAATATTAATATTGTAAATAATGATATAGTTTCTATTATGAACTGATGATAATTATTATACTGACTGGAACACTGTTTAAACGTATACGTTACTTAACAATAATGTCCTTTTCGCCATCATTTACGATATGAAATGTGTCCCAGAAAAATGTCACCTATAGTAGTGCGTTATCGTCGCATTTAAACTACACGAGCAACAGAAACAACTAAACTATGTATGTGTAGTGTTATTATTATTATGTGAAAACTATAAATTACATCAGACTGATGTTGACGCGCAAAACAGAAAATATTTAAATTTTTTATCGAATTCTCGTCACCGTCGTCGCCGTCGGGGAAAAGGATTCCAAGTGCGCAGTTCACAAGATAAAGGACATTATCTTGAGCCATCCGGTATGTGTGTGCACTGCTACGTCTGTGCAGTATATAGTACTATTATATCTGTACGTGTGTGGTGTTTGCATGCGGACAAAGAACATGTGTGCCGTTTGCGACGGCGGCGACGGGTCCTTTAGCGATAACGAGGTGAACAAACAAGTACGACGAAAAAATAAATAAATATAATAATAATAATAATAATAATAATTATATTTATTATAAACCTAAATTCTCATCATCATCATCATCATTGTGGGAGGCCGAAATGCGCGAACGGTTGCTTTTATCACGCCCATGTCTTTCCGAATACGATAGCGCGTAATCAATATAATAATAATAATATTATGTATACATAATATACGTGTCAGGATATGATGGTTTTTTTCCTTTTCGACCATGGTAATCTTTGTGGCCCGTTCATATTACACTGTTTATAAGTAGTTGACGTTTGATAGCTGCAACGTTTATTTACATTATAGATATAATATAATACTATA